CAGGCTGACTAGTTGTTTTTATACAAGACCACCATGGTCTCCTCGGGGATGGCTTGGAAACATGACTTGGCTAACTGCTCCTTCCTCTGATGTCCTCCAGCTTTAGTAGAGTGAGTGAGTGAGTGCATCTCATTCCTCATTGCTGTTTATTGTATTGTTTTTATGCATTTGGGCTGCTTGTGCAAATAAGCTATTAGGCCCTGAAGGACTCCTATGCCTGCAACATTTGGCATAGTGGCTGTCCATTTGTAAGTGTGTTTGTTATTGGTACAAGTGTCACAGTTCCTCTGCTTATGGTTATTTACTGAGAATCTCTTCTATGGTGGGCGCTCTTTGGATTGCTTGAATGTAGCCATGAAAGATGAGGGTCCTTTCTCTCCGGCAGCTCCTAATGTCGGGAGAGGCTCAGGGAGGCAGGAAAGGACAGGATGGTGACATCAGTACGTGATGCTAAGTGACTGCAACCAGGACAAATGTGGCCTTTCAGTTGGGCTCTAGGGTCCATGCTGAAGACAGAATTAGGCCTTTTCCTGAGATCAGATGTACACAGAGCCAGCTAGCATAAAAAGGGAACTGCCTTTCCAGTTCCCTGTGGCATCCAATGGTTACTGGACTTTGTGCTTCATCTTTCTGCCATCTTGTAATCGTCCTGTAAGTCTAAAAAAGTCTTTATCATCCATTTTATTGTTTGGAGTTACTGACTTGCTCTTAAGTGATGTGTGTGGTAATATGCACTGTAGCACTGTCCTCCCATTGCTCATCCATTTGCTCGAGAGGGCACCAGTAACGTCTCCATTATGAGACTTGTTGTTACTGTTTTTGGCATATCGGATATGCCACGGGGCGTTTGCCAGGCTCTGCCATGCAGGCGGGATACTCTCGGTAGCTTGCCAGGCTCTCTGAGAGGGATGGAGGAATCGAACTGGATCGGCCGCGTTCAAGGCAAAGGCCCTACCCATTGTGCTATCGCTCCAGCCCGTGTGATAATATACTTTGTGAAAACCTATTTATTCTTTAGGACAAATCCAAATATTTCTGTTTCTGTAAAGTCTTCAGGTTTTCTGAACAAAACAACTTATTCCTTTCTTCGGAATAAGACACCTTTATCTTGTTACTTTCATCACAGCTTTAGTAAGGATTGCAGTTTGACTTATTTTATTTATTTTTTGTTTTCTCCTGGCTCTGTATTCAGGGATCACTCCTGGAAGGACTTGGGGGCCTTATGGGGTACTAGGGGTTGAACCTAGACCAGCCATTTATAAGACAAGTACCCTACCCACTACACCATCTCTTGGGCTCACATTGTGTGCTTTATTATAGCTGTGCAGAGCCCAAGACTTTGCAGGCAAGGATTACTCTTTTTCATTTTAGTATTTCTTTCTTCTTGCACACTCATGTCATTATTTGTAACTAATAAACTCAGGCAATGAATAAATATCCATGGAATGAATTAGAACTTTGTAACATGATTCGCACTTATAGTGCATGTTAGGGTATTTGCTTCTAGAATATGGTCAATGGCTTCCGTCGTTTCTCCATGCATTTTGTTTGGCTTGGTTTGGGTTTTATCAGTATTTGTTTGGCAAATGCTTCCCATGTACACATGTCAAGTTTTTGGATAGATCTGGGCTCAAGTTCGGATTTTTTTTTTCCTGTGCCATTCTGGTCACACACCGAGGACTTATTCAGTGGGAAGTATTGGTTTCCCTTACTTTCTGATTTCTTCCCAGTAATTGAGGAATACTCTCCTTATCCACTCACAAATCTACTAAGCAGAAAGGAGTGTTTCTGAAGCTGGGAATACAGAGTGACTGAACAGACTTCGTATCTACAATATTGTTGAAACAGCTTGATACCTTTCATCAAATAAAATAGGCCAAGTCAGTGGAGTAGAATTATTCAACACCTTGCTGGCACAGTTTGAGAAATCCATTCTTTTTTTTTAAATGTTGGACAATCTTTGGAACCAAATGTTTTCAACAGTCACTGGATTTTCCTGGTGTTTTCTGTCTCTCTGAAACTGACATTATATATGCACACAAACTTATCATTTTCTCCTGAATATCATTAAATATTACCGCATATTGCATTTCCATGAAACTAATGTTTTATTAGTTACTTCATTAAAAATTTTAACACTTATTTAAATTTTTGGCTTTTTGGATCACACCCAGCAGTTACTCAGGACTGACTCTGCACTCAGGAATTACTCCTGGTGGTGCTTGGGACACCATGCTGGCTGCCAAGGATCAAACCCCGGTTGACTGTGTTCAAGGCAAAGCCCAACCTGCTGTACTATCACCCTGGCCCTCCATTTAAAATTTTAATTTCCTAGAAACTGATCGCTTTTTGTTGAGCACAGGGATGAGGGTGAGGTTTACAGTCTCTGTTGGCCAAGGTGAAATGTTTCTACGCCAAATTGTCTTTTATTAATTTTCCTGGTGCAAAGAATGGACCTAGGCTCTCATGTCTGGTAGGATATTCGCCACCACTAAATAGGGTAAACTATGCAGATTATATATGCCAGAGATTTATTTAGGCAGAAGAGATTGGGGGGGGGAGGAAGAAGGTGAGACAGCAGACAGATTAAGAGGAGAAGATAGCACAGAGGTTAGAGCATTTACCTTGCAAGCAACCAGCCCAAGTTCGATCCCCAGCACCACCAGGAGTAATTCCTGAGTGCAGAGCCAGTAATAACACCTGAGCATCACAGGGTGTGACTCTCCTCCCCCTGAAAAAAAAAGAGGAGAAAGGGAGAGAGCAGAGAAAGGGGGAGAGAAGAGAGAGGACTGGGTGTAACGAGAAAAGCAGGCAGGCAGCCTCCCAACTGTCAATCCCGTACCCCATGTAGTATTCTTGACCCAGGGCAACGGGCCATAACATATGCTTTGTACTCTTGAGTCCTTTGTCCTAGAGCATCTCCGAGAAGACAAAGCGTAAGAGAAGACATTTTTATTTCCAATCCCCCCTTTTTGGTTTTGGGGCCACACTAGGCTCTGTGTTGGGGGTGGGAGCGCACCCGGAGTGCAATGGGAAACTTGCCAGGCAGGAACCCAACTGAGCCTCGCAATGAGCGGATCCCTCTTGAGGTGTCTCTCCAGTCCCTGAAAGAATTTTTTTCTTTGTCGTTTTTTGGACCACACCCACCAGTGTCCAGGGGTCACTCCTGGAAGTGCTGGAGGTCAAACAAGGGGTCGCTAAAGTCGCGAGCAACCAAGTATCTTAACCCTTGTATCATCATCTCTCCAAAATTCTTAAAAAGAATGTTTTTTTCTTTTCTTTTTAGCGGGTGGGGAGGGGCACAGGAGATCTTCTGCGATGCCTGGCATCAAACCACGGTTGGCTGCGCGCAGGGCAAGCCCTCTAAATCCTTACTATCAGCCTTTCCGCCACCCCCATCCCCCAGTGTTTTTCTTTTATTTCTTTTGAGCAACATCTGGTGGTGCTCAGGAATCGCTCCTGGGGCGGTTCAGGGGATCATAAGTGTGCCAGGGATGAAACCCCGAAAGCAGCGTGGGAGACAAGTGCCTTAACCGCCAACCCCACCCGCTCCACTCTGAGAGATAGCCCGGGTTCCATGAAAAGGCGGGGAGGGTTCTGGGAAGAGCAAAAAAACTCCGATTTTGTGTTTTTTTCACGTCACCAAGCCACCGGACAAGTTCAAATAAACGGCCTCGGCCGGCCCCAAAGTGCGACAGCAAGGTCCCCGATCGGGATCGGGGCGAGCCCTCGACGGCTTCCTCTGGACTCCCGAGAGCGAGGCGATCGATCGGCCAGCCGTCACCGTCACCCGCTTCCCCGGGTGGCCCGTCCCGTGCGCTCCGGCTGCGGGGGGCGCGACGCGGACGCGTGTCCGCAAGGGCCCGCGGGGCCCGCTGGGGGTCCCGCGCTCTCGGGCGCACAACCCAGCCCTAGTGCCGGGGACTCGGGTGTCCCCGTGCAGCCGCTGGGCCGGGGACTCGGAGCCTCTGGCCCGGCTGCAAGCCCGGCCGCCCGCGCCGTCGAGCGCATCGTCCACGCCGCGCCGGGGCGGGGAGCAGGGGCGCACCGGGAGCCCCGATCGCGCTCCCGGGCCGGGGTGTTGGCGGTGGGGGGACACCAGGCCGGTGGTGTGGCCGCCATATTCGCGCCGCTCCGCGCCCGGGCAGCGGCCGGAGGCGGCAGGTTGGCGGCGGCCCCGGCCGGGACAGCGCCAGGTCCCGCCTCTCGCCGGCGCGGCCGTGACCGCGGGGGCCGGGCCAGCCCGGAGCTGCGCGGGCCCAGCGAGGCGCGGCGCGGCGCGGCGGCCGCGAGCCCCGGAAAGCCGTCCCGGAGGGGCTGGGCGGCACCGCCTCCCGCCCGCCCGCTCGCTCCCTCCTCCCGGCCCGTCCCTCCTCCTCCTCCTCCTCCTCCTCCTCCTCGCGCCGCCGTTGCCGCTGCGCCGCCCGCCCGCCCGCCGCCGCCGCCGCCCGCTCAGCTCAGGGGGGAGAAGGCGGAGGATGCGCGCGCGCGGCCAGGGGGAGGCCGAGCTCTGAGCAGCCGCGCCGCGCCGCGCACTCGGGCCCGGTGGGCGTCTGGCGGCGGGCGCGGGCGCGGAGGCGGCCAGGCGGGCGGAGCGCGCGGGCCGGCGAGCGGGGAGTTGCGCGCGGCCCCGGCGCGGAGCAGGCGGCGGCGGCGGCGGCGGCGGCGGGGCGCGGCGCGGACGCCCCGGTGGATGCGCTCGGCCTAGGGGCGCGGCGGCGCGGGAGGCGAGGCGGGCCGCCCCTGCCCGGGGCCGGGGCCGCAGGCGCGGGCGTCTGAGCGGGGGGCCGGGCGCGGCCTTCCGAGCCAGCGCCCCGGGTCGCGCGCGCGCGCGCGCGATCCCGCCGCGCCCCCCCTCCCATCCCACACCCCTCGCTGCCCGCGGGCCCCCCGCGGCCGCCCCCCAGCTCGTCCGGGCCGCGCGCCCGGGCTCCGGGGGCTCGCGGCCGCCGCCGGCCCCGGGGGAGCGAGGGCGCGAGGGCGTGTGCGCGCGTGCGAGCGGGCGGGCGAGCGGGGCCGCCGCCGGCGGGGCCGCGGCCGAGGCACTTCGGAAGAATGACTCTGGAGTCCATCATGGCGTGCTGCCTGAGCGAGGAGGCCAAGGAGGCCCGGAGGATCAACGACGAGATCGAGCGGCAGCTCCGCCGGGACAAGCGGGACGCGCGCCGCGAGCTCAAGCTGCTGCTGCTCGGTGAGTGCCGCCGCCGCCGCCGCCGCTGGCCCGGGGTCGGCCCCCGTGCGCGCGCGCGCGTGTACCCCCTCCCCAACCTCCCATGCCCCGGGACCTCCGCCGGCGCCCCCCTCCCCGCCGCCCCCCAGACCCCGGCGGCCGCGGCTCGCCCCCGGCCGGCCGTCCCGAGCGCGCCCCCGGCCGGTCCTGGCACCCGCGTGGGCGCGTGCACGGACACATGCGCGCGCACTGGAACGGACCCGCCAGGGACTCACTCGCGGACGCCGGCACACGAAGGGACACACACGCTCACACACACACACACACATAGACACACGTACGCACGCTCGCGTATACACAGACGCGCACACACACAGATGCATCAGCCTACGCATGCACGCACACACCGGCACACGCAGACACGCACGCGTTCACACACGCATTCACCCCCACGCTCACAGACACATGCGCGCACAGCCGAGCACACACGCACACGCGTGCATACACGTTCACCCCCCTGCACACTCAGGCATGCGCACAACACTTGCACGCGCACACCGACGTCCACACGCACCCGTGGACACAGATGCGCACGCACATGGGACGTGCACACACGGACCTGCACGCGCACATATGCACACACAGCACACACACACACACACGGAAATGCATGCGCCGAGAGATACGGTGCAGGCTGCCTGGTCCGGCTCTCCGAATATACCTTTGTGTGCACCCCAAAGGCTGAGAATTCCGTGTGAGCGTTCAGCGCAGTGCATCTGTTACATGTGCATCTCTTTTGGGGGGGAGGTATCGGCCGAGCAACCGAACTTTGGGTATCGCGGCAGCCACAGTGCCCCGTGGGGGGAGGGCAGCGGCTGTGCCTGGGGGAGCACCTTTGGGGTTGGTGTGGTCAAGTGGCTCGTAAGCATCCATGGACGAAGCTTCATGGGGTCCAGAGGAAAGGGAATGGGCACCCTCGCGACTGCATTCCTGGAGGAGGCCCTAGGGGTTGGCCTGGCAAAGAAGGAACCTTAGGAGTTGGGGGGTGCAGGGAGGCAAGACCCCGAGTCACAGTGATGGGCCCACCTGCCACCGTAAGGGAACAACCCTGAGACCAGTCTTGGTCTTGGATGGTGACAGGCAGTTTCTTCCCTGCCTCTGTCCATGGATAATGGTTGAGGGAGCGGGGAACTCCGGGTATCTTTTGTTTGGTGAGAAGCACCCTTGGAGGCCTGAATTTAGCAGTTAGTCTACTGCAACCCGGCAGGCTGCTCTGAGACGGGCTTGGAAGCAAATAGAAACCTTTTGTTTGAGTGCTACAGCATTTTAAGCTTCCATGGAAGGGTGCAGGCAGTTGGCCGTCCACCAGCACCCAGTGGTCTGCCTTCACACCCAGTGGCCAGGAAAACGCTGTTTCTCCTATAGGGTATGAGATGCTTGACTCTCCCGGGTGGCTCAGACCGAACTGCCTGACACCCAACTCGGCGGCGCCACTGTGGTGGGAAGCGCAGACAGCTTTGCAGTAGCAGGCCCCAAAACATGTCTGCACTTGTGTCTGGCCACTTGCGCGTGGAATATTTTCTCAGACTCGCTGCCGGAAGAGAAGACAGCCCTGTCAGGAAGGATTGGCGAAGCGGTGTGTTCTCTGCCTTGGGCTTGGCATTTCTCAGCTCAGGGAACCCGCTGGTTTCTGGGACTGGGCTGCTTAGGGACTGGGTCGTTTTCCAGAAGGAACAAAACAGAGCCGTCACAGGGAGATGCAGGTACAGATGGTTAATTCACACACGGAACTTTCGGGTCTTCCTGTGAATACCAGGTTAGGTCTGTGTCCACACGTTTGTGAAGAACCCAAGTCCAAGTTCAGCGGTGAAGGAGGAGGATGCTGGGCACTTGGATACAGGAGATTTATTTTCTGTGGATCATTTCCATCCCCTCTCATCTGGATCTCCTTCTAATGACTGAAAAATGTGCAGTGGATTGATTAAGAGAGAAACAGAGAAGGCAATAGACTATATATATATATATATATATATGTAGGGAGTGTTCGAATTCATGATTAATGGGAAGGGCTTGTGTTTTGGAGAGCGAAGTTATTAAAATTTGATAGTTTCGGCTTCTGTCGAGCAGTGCCTGAGGCAGCAGCGGCTTCTGTAGCTTACTGTGCTCCCTGAAGTGGATCAGCCCTCGGTCTCCTGGCTGCTCCCACTTCAGAACCTCCGAGCTTCGTTCTCTGTCTCTGCCGGCCTAGATTTGAAAGTCGGGGAGGCCGCCTTGGGGTGGGGGTAGGGAAGGGCTGAGTATCCATGGCTGCTTCATTACCGATCGTGCATTTCAGAACCGTGCAAAGGTACAAAGCTTTTAAACATGTGCCATGGAAATAGTTTTATGGGGAACAAAAATGGGAGGAAAAGTTTCATCGCTCAGGGGCTATGAACACCCTTTCCCCCCCTCTTGCTAGATCGTTATATGCACTAGCACCCAAATCTGACCCATTAGAAGCGGTAACGTTATACTTGCACCTGCATTCGTTAATAGCATGAAAAGCTCCCGCAGGCTTTTGACAGACACAAATTGCTACGGCGTCAGCTTTCAGTCTGTTGCTTTTGTGCCCAGCTTCTGGCAGTCAGCCTTGCAGTGGGTGGCATGCACCATGTCCTGGGTGCGTATTTTTGCCCCTTGCTTCATTTTGTTTTGAGTCCAGGAGAGAAATAAGTCCAGGCTTTGGCTGCAGGGAAGCTGCTCTGTCGGAGGAACTCCCAGCGTGCTGTCTGGTTACTTCTTCAAGTTCCCACCGTCCCTTCTGTCCTCTTCTGTCGTTGTGCCTATCCAAAGGAGGTTATGGAATGAAACCATTCTTGGTTCAGTGGTTTACCACCAGGACTTTTTAAATTCCTTTAAGTTGGGGAATCCCTCCTGTTTGTAATTGCGATTTAGTATCAAAATGTTCTTCAACTAAATTTCAGTACAGGATGTGGCTTCATGTTAGTGGAAATAGAAATGTAGAAAAGTTTGAGAGGGGTGTTAAGTATAGACCCTGGCCTTCGTTCTCGTACTTAAATTTACAGTCGAGTGATGCGAAGAAAGTCGAGAAAGAAAATCGTGGCTCCCTGCATTGGGCTGGAGAGAGAATCCAGTGCTTGCCACGCATGCAGCCGACCAGCGTTCACGCCCTGGCACCGTATGTGGTCCCGGGAGCTCAAAGCCAGAGTAAGCCCTGTGCAGTGCTGGGTGCGATCCCCAAACAAAACAAAGCAAAATGCAACAATAGAGAACGATTTTGATTCATATCCCCACACAAGTCTAACGGCAATTGAATCAGTGCCAGAGAGAGATAGTACAGTGTGGAAGGCAATTGATTGGTTGCCTTGCATGTGGCCAACACATTTCTGACCACCTCCACTGCTTAGACTCCCTTCTGGAGTGATCCCTGAGCACAGAGCTGGGAATAAGTCCTGAGCACTGCTGGGTGTGGCCTCCCCCCCCAAACTCAAAGATAAGTGCATAAAAATAATAAATGCAACTGTGCTCTTGTGTTACACATTTATTCTTCTTAATTTATTTTGCCTTTTACTCCCTTTTCAGGCGAATTCAGAAATCAACTACCATAAAGTTTGTTAGATTCTGAATCGTTTTCCTGTTTTCTCTGTCTCTGAATTTATTTCATCGATTTGCTCAAGCGGGCCCAGTAACATCTCCTTTGTGAGACTTGTTGTTACTGTGTTTGGCATATCGAATACGTCACGGGGAGCTTGCCGGGCTCTGCCGAGAGGGGTGGAGGAATCGAACTTGTGTGGACCATGTTGGCTGTATGCAAGGCAAACACCCTACCGCTATGCTATCGCTCCAGCCCCTGAATTTATTTACATTAGGTTAATTCTTTGTTTGTTTGTTTATTTGTTTGGGGGCCCCACTTGATAGTGTTCAGGGGTAACTCCTGGCTCTGCACTCAGGGACCATTCCTGTTGGTGCTCAGGGGACCATATGGGTTGTTGGGGATCAAAGCTTTGTCAGCTGCATGCGAGGAGAACGCCTTACCTGCTGTACTATCTCTCTGGCCCCTAAAATTAAAAAAAAAAAAATTAACGTTTTGTGGAGCTACACCAAGTGGTGCTCAGGGACCACTCCTGGCTCAGTGCTTGGGGGTTTCTCTTGTTGGTGCTGGGGGACCATGCAGTGTCGGGGATTGAATCTCCGTCTCCTACATAAAGAAGACTAGCTCCAGCTCATTCTCTCTGGCCCAAGGGTTTATTTTTTAATATCTCAAAACTTTGTAAGCAAAATATATATGCAAAAATATTTTTATTTTAGTATGATTTTTAAAAAAAATGCTTTCGAGCCTTAAAGCTGTTTTTTTTAATTGATCACCTTCAATATTGAGTGTTTCTATTGGTGGTACTTAGATCACACTCTTATTGTATCTTTCTATATGTTGAAAACAGATGGCTTTGAGTACTTGCCTCTAGTCATACTCATTTGAGAATTTCTTACAATTTCTTGAAGATTTTTTCCCTCTTAACCTATTCTTTAATTTCATATCATTTTAAAATCCTCAGTTTTCAGATCTGAATCCTCAAACAGGAAGATTTAGCAAATCTTCGCTTCCTGCCTTTTTTTGTGAGTGTGCTGGCTGTCAAACCTTTTACACGTTCAGCCTGTGCTGCACTGCTAAGCCAGCTACATCCCGAGCCCCATTTTTTTTTATTTTTTCACTTAAAATATTTGTTTCAGTTTTGGTCCATCTTAGATGAAAGAATGTGTATGATTGATTTTTGTAACAAATTAGATACATAATTAGATAATATTCCTGTTCTAAAGTGGAACCTTATGAGGATAGAGATCAGGTTTTATCATTCACTATTCAATTTTGTCACATTCTTTTTCTTTGGGCCACATCAGTGGTGCTCAGGGCTCACTCCTGATGGAGCTTGGGGACCAAATGGAATGTTGGATATTGAACCCGGCTTACCCAAGTACAGGGCAAGTGTGTTATTGCCCTGGCCGGTCTCTCTCTCTCTCTCTCT